AACTTTGTGTGAATGGGAAGGTTAGGGCCAGCAACCCTTGGGCAGTTTAGGGTTAGCAGTGTTTTTATTAACCCTAACAGTCCTCAGTCCTCCAGCAGGTGAAGGATTGAGGACTGTTAGGGTTAGGGAGATTCAACTCTGTATGTACATGTATGCAGCACAGCCTAACCATGGTAACCCTGCTTGGTCTCCGTTTGCCCCTCTGTCAGGATAGAGCACCAGCGTCTGCACGAGAAGCACAAAGGCCACGAGGCCATGCACGCAGAGATGATCCTGATCCTGATCGCCACGCTGGTCGTCGCGCAAGTCCTACTGGTCCAGTGGAAGACCAGGCACTTCAAATCGTACCAGGTCTGTTAAAAGCCTAGACCTACTGCTGAGGGGGTCTGGACACCAGACTGTGCCCTAGTCCCATACTCAGGCCAGTGGTGTTCCCACAAGCGTTGTTTAACATGTTTAAAGCTTTTGCATGGTGGAGTAGTATACAGGGAGGTACAGTGTATCTTTGTTGGTAGACCGTGGAAGCAGTCTCTTTCATATGTACATGTATGAAGAGGTGTTGGCGCTGAGAAGAGCTAGTGGTAAGAAAAGGTCTCAGTAGTTTCCTGAAAATGAACAGACCACGCTGTTTGAAACACCAAGATCTTTCCCCACCAGTGGCTCTTCTCGGCACCAACATTTCTTCCTGTCAACTGTATTCATGTGTCAGCCATGTTGAATTAAAGGTGAGGTAAACCTTTTCATTTGGGGGGGGGAAGTGACAAAATAGAAGTTTATACAAAGTCATGCCCGATTTTGTTTATGATAACTTTTTTTAAAAAATTAAAGTGTGGTTTGGAACATAAAATAGTCTGTCACCACCCCACTGAACAGCTTACCTTGAATTTGATAGATTCAGGGAACAAGATACAAAAAATGGCTTCCCCATGAATGAGGTGCTTCCATGGGGTACCCACAAACATACCTTCGTGTACAACAGTGGTCCTGTACTTTCTTCAAATTTCTCAAGGGACCCATTTCAAAATGCTGTCCAGGACAAGTTGTAGCAGGAGCCTCTTGCTTCATCTGCATGAAGCTCTGTGCCTGTCCGGGATGAGTTCCAGAGAAATTTCCAAAGGCAATCTGTCAGCCTTGAATGGCTGTTGTAAAAAACTCCACTCCTGAGGACGACCAGAGCTCACTGGTCAAAATGTCAAGTTCACACTCGCACTGAACGGTTCTTATCAGAACCACACTTCTTCCAAAAGAGATCTATCCGCATGGTGTAACCGCAAGCCCCCTCTTCCTTCAAAACTGGGAACCCATGACAGGTGGCTCCTACAAGAATGGTTTGTGGTTTCCAGAAGAGTGACCTTGGATTGCTCAGTGCAAGCCAGCTAAGAACTGATTGCTTGTTCGTGAGAAGATGGGGGGGGGTGGCGGGAATTGTCAGGAATCTTGGATGATTTATGAGATGGCTCCTTGTCATTTGATTTCATTTGTTTCTTTGTGTGGACAGCATCAACCGAGCTCAAAAATTGGCTTCAGCTATAAGAAAAAGAGTGTTGCCTTGTGTTTGTTGTTAAGAGCTATGTACCCACATGGTTCTAACTGTATCTATGTGTAGCAGGGATTTGAAGGCCCCAGTTGTTATGTATATATTATGCACCTTATGCTATGTGCTGGGACAAAAAAATTCATAGCAACTTGATCAACCATTCACCAATCAATCAAAGGAGAATTACTAACATCATTGTGCAAATAAAGACAATTATTTTTGCTTTATTAAGAAAGACCTGTGTTTGGGGTGGACATGGTTTCAGGAATGTTCAGATGATGTGTGAGCCCAGTGTGCAGAGATAATAATACATCGCCTCGGAATAGTTTGCTAGATAGATGGCGCTTTACAAGTGCTTGTTATTTTTATTATTATTATTATTATGCCCCTAGATCGCTACGCTGGTGGGCATGTGGGCAATACCGGTCTATTTCTGCTTGACTCTCCACTGGTGGCGATTCCTGGTCATCTGGACCATCTTCTCGCTCATCACAGCCTTCATCTCCTACAAGGCCACCCGCAACCCCTTACCTGGAACAACACCAAGGTGAGCCAAAGGCGTTGTACTGCAGTGAGCCAAAGAGGGACCAGTCACTTCTTGAAATGGGCTTCTCTGCAAACAGCAAAGATCAAATCTCCACCAAGTTCAAGTGATGACCATTTGTCAACTTGTGGTGGATTCTTTGCTGGTAACCTCTGCATGAGTTATGTCCAGGGTACCAGGCGAAATCAACCAGTGGTTCACTGCTTGAACTCGCCACTGTAATTTGAAAAGATAGATCTGGGACATGTACATGTAGATATTACACTGTTACACTATAATAGGCCTGTGCTGAATATTACGAGTATTCATTTTTTTTATCGAGTACTGAAATGTTTATCTTTTTGATCTGAATATTCATACTGTATCCAATTTGTCTTCTTAAATTTAACCCTCCTCAATCCCCCTTGAAGGAGCATATTCAAGAAAGATTGGAAGATTGGGGCCGAATGCAAGTTTTTGTATGAATGGAAGATTTCAAAGGATTGAGGGGGGTGCCTTGCAAAAAGGCCTTGAGGTTAGGGTTAAAGTTTAATTGAAAGAGAAAATAATAGCTCTAATAATAATTATTCAAAATAATCAGGTACATAAAAATATATTTATTCCAAACCAACATCAGGTCATTTTACACATACGTGTATTTTTATCCCAGTGCAAACCAGGAAAAAAAATAGAAATTCATTCATTCCATAAAAAGTGGATGCTTTTGTGGTCTTTTCTCATATTTGTTGGGATAAAGTGTCACTCACAGAAGTGAGTTGTTTTCTTATATAATGATTGTGTCTCAGTGAGCCAAAGCCGTTCAGGCCAGCAATGTTAACATCTTGCAGCATCAATACCAGTCCAAGGTGTAATATATTGTACATGTATACATATTCCTCTATGGATTCCAAAATTTTCTTACGGGTAGAACCAAACTGTGTCAGCTTGATTTTCATTGGACAATTTTCTTTTCAAATTCACAAATCTTTAAAAGCCATGGATGTCTATTGTTTATCTCCTCCACTCCCCCAAAATACCCCTGGCAAAAGTACTCAATATCTGGGCCCAGGGTCCGAGTGGAGCCGCCCACCTCTATGCTAAATGGCCCAGAAGTGTGTGAACGAAATACATGTACCCAGAGTTGGAAGCCCTCAGGTTGTCAATGCTTGCTTTTTGAAAAATAGGGTTGTTCAATATAAAATTAAATGATTGAAATCATGAATTAAATCAATAGACAAAATTTTGAAATCAGTTTAAAATCACCTTTTTTTCGGGTATTTGAAAGGAAGAAATGGCTGAATTTAATACATTGATGTTTTTGAAAGATTTACACATATTTACATATCTTTATTTACCTTTAGTTTTTTTATTAAGAGAAGAAGTAAAGAAAAATGAAGACAGACAGTTTTGCTTGGAGCTTGTTGTATGTACTGTAATTTGAAATTTTGAATGCTTGCTTATGGATGGTTTCAACAGTATGATAGAGCGGCAAGTCATTTCAGTTTTTTATTTGAAAGAACATATTTATGGAATAGCCATTCCATTTACAAGTACATGTACATGTGTATGCATTTAGATGTGGCAGTATTGCCATATACATGTATCAGGAAAATTGGAACACCAAAGATGTGTACTTACTCAATAAAGTCTCTCAGAATGTTATATAAGGCATGTACATGTGTTTGCCAGTACGTGTGCAAGGGTTTTTATCCCATTTGAAGAAGCAAAGACTGACCTTTAATCATCTTGTTTTATCATTAAAATTTGCATAAATAGGTTATTCATACCAAGAGTGTATATTTCATCTAGGTTACTGTACTTCATAAACTTTATTTTTTGATTAGAAATACATGTAAGCAGTTTAACATGAACAACTTTGCCTCAGCGGTCAGCAGTGAGTCCTTCAGTCATCACATGTTGTTACATGTCTTGAACTTCCGGACCAAAGGCCTTTTAGACAATTCATTCAAAGATTTATTTTTCAAAAAATCAATTTTTAAAATGTTATTAGCATTTTTTTTAAAAACCATAATTTTTAACAATCCAATTAAAGAAGTTCTTACAAACGATCCTGACTGTGGCACCTCTTACTGTCAGATCACTAAATACTAGTATTAATGAGCTCACGTACAGGAATTGAGATATGCAGTGCTTTGTGTGCTCAAGAGAAATCAAAGCCTATGTATTTTGCACTAAATGTACGTGCATATTTTCAAATCCTGCAAATTCTCCAAAGCGTCTTCACTGGGGTTTGGTGGATGTTGAAGGGTTAGGGCCAGGCCTCGAGGGCCAGTTTAATCGGCCACAAATTTGCAACCAGTTGTAGAATTTGACTGGTAACCTATGCATGAAATAGATAACAGGCACCTGGCAAATCCAACCGAATTGTCGCTGATCAAACCTGCCCATTTCTTTGACTCTTTGATCATTTCCTTTTAGACCATTGGTTTGATTAACCACGCAGCAGAATTTACGTCCACTGTCTTTTTTTTTTTCCTCGCTGCAGACTTGTGTACAAGTGGTTTTACACAATCTACAAGATCAGCTACGCTCTGGGTGTCTGCGGGTACACGGTCATCATGTGCACCTTCCTCAACCTCAACCTGCTCTTCCTGATTCGCACCGACAGGTCCATGGACTTTGGCCTGGTCTTGCTGTTCTACGGACTGTACTACGGGGTGCTTGGGCGGGATTTCGCCGAGATATGCTCGGAGCAAATGGCGGCTCGCATAGGGGTGAGTTATTGGTTTAGATGTACCTTTGAGTTTCCTAGCCACCCATCAGAACACAGAGCTTGAATGTGTGCCTGGTCTCAGCACACCTGCCAACCATTCCGATTCCACTGGAGCTGTCCTGAGTTTCAAGTTTTCACCCTTCAAAAAAATCAGAAGATGCCGATTTCCATTTTAAAAAGGAAAAAAAGTTTTAAAGCCCTGACAAACGTGGGCGTTATTTGCAGAAAAAGGAGGTTGCTGCATGTATTTTCTGTGTTGGAGCTATTGGCAGTTTCACATGTGCATGTACACACATGTATGTACAAAGCTTGTCTCTTGCAGCTTCTCTGACTAAATCACCAAAACTTTCATCAAATGCTTTTGAAGTTTTAAAAAGTGCAGAAACTGCCTAACTTTGCATTTTTACAAACTAAGGGTTTCAATCTACGGTCCAATTCCAAAGATTTATATTCTCATTAAACACAGACTTGACAAAGGTAACAATTCAAAGGGGAATAACGTTAGTACATGTACATGTGAAGTGCCTACCACATATTCTCTATGAGTAATGTATTACACCAAAAAATGTGTGCATATCAAAGACAGAGATCACTATACATTTACAAATACTACATCTTGAAAAAATGCAGGCATAAAAACGTGCTCGCACAGTTAAGCTTTTATAAAAGACATTTTGACTGCACACCTTGATTGCAAAATACATGTAGGTGACTGTAAGTCCAGATATAAGCAAAGTTTGTAGTTTGTGGCAGACTTGATTTGTTTATTTCTAAGCTTTTTCTTTTTTTTCTTAAATTAGTTTCCATAAAGGGGCAACCAGTTTTCTGGTTTTACACTGATGCTTGAAAATAAACAGCTTTGACCTTGACCACGCCCACTTTTCAGACTTCAGTTCAGACAACCTACATGTACATGTATTTACCAGTGCATTGTAGAAGCAGATTGGGTCAAGTCCACCGTTACTTCCGCGCTAGTGAATGGCCAGAAATTTTTGTAAGATAATTGTGGCTTCAACTTCACTGTGCAAATTGAAATGTGGCATGACCTCTCAACCAAGTCCGCTGACTACATGTAACTCAACATCAAGTACTGAACCCGAGGTTTTATTTGTTGCACTACATGTATGCTGTGTACATAAATTTGTGTTGAGACAAAAGTACACATACATATATACATGTATGAGTAAGCACAGAAGAATTAATTAAACAAACTGAATGATGTTCTCCATAAAGATGTCTTGCCTCATTTTGGGGCAATTTAGGGCTCGAGTGTACCTGTAGAGATCATACATATTCATGAGTTCAAGAGATATACATGTACATGTATACCGGTAGGTGAGGTTTTCTGGAACAGACAGGGACAGATAGGCCATGCTACTGCTGTACCGAACTCAAATAATTCAATTTTCAAAGATCAGCACAGCAATAGCACAGCGTTTAGGGCAGTTTGGCTCAGCAAATGGAATTTGGCACGGCCAGCCCTTTAGTTCAACAGAGTATGCCGCGCTATCGTCGTTTGAAATGGCAGTGGCATGACACTGCTCTATTTAAGTTCGGTGATTAGCACAACTGCCGCTCTATTGCTGTGTTATTGCTGTACTCATTTTAGATAAGTTCGGCACAGCAGTAGCAGGGTGTCCAGTCTCGGCCTTAGGCTTGGCAGACAGCAGATCGCATAGCGCCTGACGCAGAAATGGATTCCGTAGGTAGTAGATGACAACATTCAGCCAGCCGTTAGACAATGCAAATGAATCGTCATTGAGTGCAGTGGTCTCGTAATCCCAGAACTTGCTCTCTGAGGTCAGGAAGAAGGCAATCAACGGTATCCAGGTGATGGCCAGAGCACTGGCTATGATGAGGATGGTGACCGTGCCTCTTGCGTTGATGTGCTGCTGGATGCCCTGTCTGACACGGTTAACGGTGGCAATGTCGCGGGCATGACGATGCGCAATGAGAGAAATACACGTGTACAGCATGGTGACTACAACTAGCGTCAGTATAACAAGCACGGCAGAAATATATATTCTCCAGCCATTTAGCNCCAGTATGCTGGAGGCAGCCCAGGTGATGCAGACGGTAGTCTTTGCTTTCCGCGTGGTCATCAGCTGAGGATACCGCAGGGGAAAGGCAACGGCAATAAAGCGGTCAATCGTCAGGAGCAGGAGAGACATGATGCCCATGAAATAAGAAGTGATCAGCAGCAGTTTGACTGTCACACAGAGGAACCCCCCAGCAGCCAGGCTCCGATGTACGGCTCGGGCAGTGTCAAGGCCTGGCACAGCCCGGCGAGGAGGTCGCTGAGGGTCAGCGAGCCCAGGATGATCTTGGTACCGCACCTGGTGCGTCAGCCAGTTTGTGTGACTGACATCCCCCTGGGTGGCATTAAGTATTGTGTTCAATTCCCATTGCTCTTCATTCTCCATTTTTGGTCAGGACACACCCTCCAAACATTATATGTTATTCAGTACACTCTCTTGGGATGTACTGCCCAAACAGCCACGGAGCGCCAAACAGTACAGTCCCACACAAAATTATAGACTACATATACATGTACCTGCTGGTTCACCCCCAGTAAATACACTAACCATCCGGTAAGTGCACTCACATGTACGACAATAATAATAGCAGAACCCAGCTGGAGACTTTTCCAAACTTGATCTCGTCACTGCTGTGTGCCGTCCAAGTAGTGTGCAATTCACACTCAGATCTCAACCCATTTATCCCTTCCGCCCTTGAGTCATCGGCATAGCAGTCCCATTGTCAGACCACTCCTTCCCTCAAAAGGGCATTGTGAGTAAAGTAAGACTATTGCTTCAGCACCGAATTCTTCACAGAGATTAATGCGCGTGCTCTGCATTTGGCCTTTGTCAAGTGCTTAGGAAACAGCCTTTGAATTGATAACGAGAGCCCAACATCCTGACAGGTTGTTTCCTTTTCAGCGCTGCTCACAGATTAGTAATGACTTTGAAAACAAACTTGGAAGTGAAGCTCCCGGAGAGTGAGAGGGAAAGGACCTGGAGCTTGGCAGAGGAGGGAAGGGCCGGGTGGCACCGGCAACTGAACTAATCTCTCTGGTGCCCTTGTATTTGCAAGAAATATTCATATTGCTTTCTCAGTGTGTTCTGAGAGTTGCAAAAAAAAAAAATCACAAGCTTGCTCGGGTTACTTTCGAACTCATATCTTCTTTCTTTAAGCAGTGCGGATGTCTTAACTGCCCGACCATTGAGTTTAACAGGATGGGAAAGTTTGCTTGAATCCAATTACCACAAGCAGTCACTGGGGTTATTTGGGGCAGCATTGGGGTTGTAAACCTTTGATATTAGATTTCTCTTCACATCTATGTACAGATATAGGTACGTATTCACCCTGTACTTTCAGGTCAGGCACCGGAGTGCATGGGCACGTAGCTCCTTGATCACGGGCGACCTATTCCTGGCAAGGTCCCAGCCAAGCTTGAAAACAACTCTGAACTTCTATGGGGAGAAGGATCAAGCTTAGAATATGGAGCTCCCAGCAATTTAACTTTATTTTGGGTTTTTTTTTATTTGTGTGTCTGTTAATGGTTTTGTTTTCAGTAGCTTTTGATTATAGTGTGTTTCNGTCTGGTGGCATATCTTGGGATGCTGGGGACTGACCACACTGTGATTGTAAACCCCGTACAAGAGAATGACCAGTATGCTGGAAGCAGCCCAGGTGATGCAGACAGCAGCCTTTGCTTTCCGCGTGGTCATTAACTGCGGATACCGCAGGGGAAAGGCAACGGCAATAAAGCGGTCAATCGTCAGGAGCAGGAGAGACATGATGCCCATGAAATAAGAAGTGATCAGCAGCAGTTTGACCACGGCACAGAGGAATCCCCCCAGCAGCCAGGCTCCAGTGTACAGTTCGGGTAGTACCAAGGCCTGGCACAGTGCGGCGAGGAGGTCGCTGAGGGTCAGCGAGCCCAGGATGATCTTGGTACTGCACCTGGTGCCCGCAGCCCGCCGCAAGGTGATGCGCATCAGCAGGTTCAGTAGCAGATTCAGCAGGACGGTGAGTGTCATTGCGATGGCTACGAACACGCCAAAGGGCGTCAGCCAGTTTGCGTGACTGACATCCCCCTGGCTAGCATTGAGTGTTGTGTTCAATTCCCATTGCTCTTCCTTCTCCAGGACTCTAGGACTCTAACACACCCTCCGAACGTTATATGTTATTCAGTACACTCTCTTGGGATGTACTGCCCAAACAGCCTCAGAGCGCCAAATAGTACAGTCCCACACAAAATTATAGACTACATATACATGTACCTGCTGGTTCACCCCCAGTAAATACACTAACCATCCGGTAAGTGCACTCACATGTACGAAAATAATATCCTGTCGAACATCAGAACCCAGCTGGAGACTTTTCCCAACTTGATCTTGTGACTTGTCACTGCTGTGTGCTCTCCAAGTAGTGTGCAATTCACACTCAGATCTCAACCCATTTATCCCTTCAGCCCTTGAGTCGTCGGCAAAGCAGTCCCATTGTCAGACCACTCCCTTCCTCAAAAGGGCATTGTGAGCGAAGGAAGACTATTGCTTCAGCGCCGAATTCTTCACGGAGATTGATGCGCGTGTTCTGCATTTGGCCTTTGTCAAGTGCTTAGGAAACAGCCCTTGAATTGATTACAAGAGCCCAACATCCTGACAGGTTGTTTCCTTTTCAGCGCTGCTCACAGATTCGTAATGAGTTTGAAAACAAACTTGGAAGTGAAGCTCCCGGAGAGTGAGAGGGAAAGGACCTGGAGCTTGGCAGAGGAGGGAAGGGCTGGGTGGCATCGGCAACTGAATTAATCTCTCTGGTGCCCTTGTATTTGCCAAAAATATTCATATTGCTCTCTCAGTGTGTTCTGACCTGAAAAAAGTGCACTTTTGAAGGGGAATTTGTAGTTCATTTTTACATGTATTACATGCACAGTACATGTACTTGCACATGACAGTTCAGCTGTTTTTTTTTCTTTTGGTAATTCTTATCTGGTTCACAAGTGTGACGTCACTTCAGTTTAAACCATGCACATGCACTGCACATAAGGTTACCTGCATTGATCACCGTTTAAATGGAACCGTGGAACCAGAAGTTAATGTGCAACTTCAGCGATTGTCCAATGGGAGCCTCCAAATCATGGCGCGTCCGCCTTTGTGATGAAGTCACTTACGAACCCGATATGAAAGGGCTTACATATTGGCAGAACATCAGTATTAATCCTACACATATGAAGAACTTCGGACCTTCTTGAAATTCTCTACCACAGTGCTCAGCAAAGCGCATGAGACACAGAGGATTTATTCATGTACATGTATGGGCCACTTACAGGGTATTCATCCTTCAGCAATGAAGATGACTTCCAACTCGAATAGAAAACTGAAATACCTTTCATCTGTAAAAGTAACAATTTCAAGTGTTTTTCCCCCTCCGCTGTTAAAAATATATCACTGGTACGTGTACTGTACTAGTGTTTGTATTCTCACCTGTCGTTGAGTAAAATCAGTGGGTGCCAGTGCTTGAGGGGCAGTCATTAAGTCAAAGGATGTAAGCTGTCGGAGGTCTTCAAATGACAGCAACAAATAAATTCAGTGGCGCGATCCTGCGACAGGCTGTGTGCTAGAGGAAATCACATGCCGGGCAGCGATGGGGCTCGTGATCTTGACTGTCACAGTCACGCGCCTCCTGGTCAGGCGGCAGAGTGCATGCGCACGTGGCTCCTTGATCACGTGCGACCTATTCCTGGCAAGGTCTCAGCCAAGCTTGAAAACTGTGAACTTCTATGGGAAGAAAGGTCAAGCTTAGAATATGGAGCTCCCTGCAATTTTAACTTTATTTTGTTTTTTTTTTATTTGTGTGTCTGTCTGTTAATGGTTTTGTTTTCACTACCTTTTGATTATACATGTAGTTTGTTTG